TTCAGATGGCATATTATTTACATTCTTTATTCGTAACTGCCATCTGAATAGGCTGACATTTTCAATTCAACAAACATTTATTAAGTATCTACAGTAATATGTGCAAATAACTGATCTTTTTGGTAAAACTATGGGTTGAGACAGGGTAATGAACTGACTATAGGGGAATTAGAAGAAAAGTAGAGTTTAAATTGTTGGGTTTTTTTTTTTTTAACAAAAAGAAAGGATCGTAGTAATTACATATTAGTTGGTGTATTAATATTAGTACCCTTGCAGAGTGAAAATATAATTTTATTCTTCTCAGAGATGATTTATTAAATAGTTCAGGGAAGGCTACTCTTCAGACTTAAGGGCATTTATATCTTATTATGAGGTATACAACAACCCTAGTCACTTGGTTCTAATCTGAGGTCAGACCTTTTGTTATCTTCTCTCCCAAACACTTGGGAATCCAGATCCCCATTCCAGAGCCATCCTTTGGGTCAGCCTTACTGAGGTCAATAAACATTTCTTAAATGCCTACTGTGTTCCAGCCACTATGCTAAGGGCTGAACATCAGACAGATCCAATGAGTTCCATATGTAAATTATAACACTTACAAATCCCTAGGACAAACTTGCTTTCAAGTTTGTTCTAAACTGCTCTAAATTCTATTAACACATCCAAAGTTTGGTTCTAGGGTTCTAAAAATAAGGGTTTATACTGGGTATACCTTGGAAAGGCCCAAATTTAAAAGACTTCTCAAAAACATTCCAGCTTCTAAGGAAGGGAAGTAAATGCAAAGTGTTCATATCTTTTTCTACAAGTTCTATTGGGTCATCCCCTTCCTGAGGGAGAGTGGTGCCTAAATGCTGCTATCCAATTACAAAATATATGCAAACTAGTCTATGTTTAATCTTACCTGTAAAGCAATAAAATTTGATTAAGTTTTATTTTAATTCTATTTCCTTGTATACAATAATTTACTTTATGAAAGGCTTAAAGGATAAATCGTACTTTGGTGTTTCTGTCAAATGGTTTTCAGAAACTTCAGGTTTCTATTAAATAAGCTGCAGTATCAGGAAGAATATTTTTAGAAGTCTGTATGATTAATTTTTTTCTTCAGGAGCATTTCATGGAAGTCATTCGAAACCAAGAATTTGTATTATTACCAGCTAGTGAAATTGCAAAGCTTCTGGCAAGTGATGATATGAATATACCTAATGAAGAGACAATACTAAATGCACTACTTACATGGGTCCGTCATGATTTAGAACAGAGACGAAAAGATCTAAGCAAACTTTTGGCTTACATTAGGCTACCTCTTCTTGCTCCACAGGTAAGCATTAAAAATGTTTTATAACTTTATCGTACATTAAGCACCTGTTCTGTTAATTATATTAGTATCTACAAGTCTATACTGATTTAATTGCCTGTCCTAACAGGTGAGATATTTATTTATATACAACTCAATGTTAATTGAATGTGGTGAATGGATGGTAGAATTAAGAAAACAATGTTTTTGGTCAAAAGCAAATCCAGAAGATACAGGTGCCTAGCTTTTGTAAAATTAGACTTTTAGTTATGTTACTTAACTGTTTCAAACCAATTCCCACAATAAGAATTATTGGGTACTCTGAGCAGATTTATGCCTGTGCATAGGAATTACATTTTTATACTTATTCATTTACAAGGTATCCCCTAAGTTTTAGTAGCTTTAACAGCTTAGAAATATACTAAGACTTATGGAACACTACATTTTTCCTACTTCAGATTATGAGGCAAAAAAATTATTGCCTCAAATTAATTAAGCTGACATTTTAGTAACCCTAAACTTTTCTAGAAGCTCAATAAGATCAATGCTTGTAACCTCCAGATTACATTTTTTGAGCTTTTTATGAAGTGTTAGCAATGTTTAATAATTTGCATTATGTAAAAGGTTGTTATTTACTGTTCCTACTATTTGTGGGGAAACTTAATTATATTTTTGCTTAATAGAGACTAGTAGCAGTGATGCATTTTGGGAAGAATCTGTATGGTAAGAGCTTGTTCTTTTAGTCTATCCTGACTATGAATTCACAATTCTATATCTTTAAGTCACTTATTTCTTGAGTTTCTTTATGAACAAATCTGAGGACAAGGAACAAAGAGACTATTTCTGTGTGCTATTCCTGCTACTTAGAAGGGATTAATTTTTTATGTTTCCTATAGGATTGAAAATAAAATCTTAACATCCTAACTGGATTCTGATATGAGTATCAATAAGTTGGTAGGAGAAGAGCAGAGGAGGAGTGATACTGTCAAGAATCATGGGGATGGGAAATATGAAATGTAACTTAAGGCATCCAGGGCAGGGCATCTGGATATTCCATAGCCACTTCAAGCCCATGCCACATGTCTTTAGCTAGAGTTCCATAGCTCCATAAACTACTTAGATAAATCTAGGTTTGTTCTAAGTGACTTGGTGATTTTAGAAAGGCAGCAGAGATGGAGGGTGGATTGGGGAAAAAAAAAGTATTGGCTCTGGAGTCAGACAGCCTGGGGTCTAATCCTACCTCTGCCACTTGCTACCTGCATGATTTTGGGCAAGTCATTTAACCTTTCTGAGCCCTGCTTTCCTTATCTGTAAAATGAGGTATGTATGCTCTGTAAGGTCTATTCCATCACTAAATCCATGGTTCTTATGAGAAATGATTCTTAAGGCCTGTGATTTTAAAAAATATTTTAATAATTGCATTTCAACACGTTTTTCCCTTTGTGATCCTATGTATTTTATTTTATACATTTAAAAAACTTATTCTAAGAATGAATCCATAGACTTCTCCAGACTGCCAAAAAGGACCCATTACACAAAAAGATAAGAATCCTTGCTCTAGGGGGACCTTTTAAGAGAGGTAAAGGGGATTGGAAAGAGGGATGGTAAAAAAAAAAAAAAAAAAAACCTGTTCTGGTACAGTGGCAGTAGAAATAGAAATGAGAAAAATATTCCAGATTTGAAATCCACAGAATCTGGTAACAACATAAATATAAAAGGTGAAGGAGAAGGAAGAATTCAAAAACAATACCAAGTTTTCATAAATCAGAACTGGATGAATGGTGATACCAATGGAAAAAAATAGTGAAGTCAGGAAAAAGTGCATATTTCAAGAGAAGAGTAATGAGCCCAGTTTGGGATATGTTGCATTTTAGTCACCATGACTACATATTTTTTAGACATTTATCCATCTTTAACTCATTTAACTCAATACTCAAATAGATCTTTGATTTCATTGATTTAGAAGTTCCTTCTAACAAAACAGAAAATAATGCATTCCATGCCTGCCCAACCTGTGTGACTCTTATCCATATCTTTCAATAAGTTCACCACAGGGAATCCACCCAACATGCTGGAGATCTTCCTCAATTTGTTTGTTTGTTAGGGTTTTTTGTTTGTTTTTTCTTCCTCGATTTCTCTTGACATTACCTGGGTACTAGTGGAACATTCTGACTGTCTACATTAGATATCATATACAGGCACATATGGGATAAAAATTAGAGAGATGTGCACATAATAGGACTGTGTCTTTAGTTTTACTAGAAGGTGGGAATAAACAAATATTTGGCTTCTGCTTTCAAGATGTTTTTGTTTTTATGATTTGCCATTCTTTTATAATCCATAAAGTTACAGAAAAGGACTGATTCAATTAGTATTTGAATATGGGCAAAAGTGTGTCTTTTAAGTGTGTCTTGCTATCTGAAGCATTATAACATGAAACATTGGTTTCTGTCTTTTCTGTTTAATTCCTGATTTTTAAATTTGATTTATGAATTTTTTTATATAAACAAATTTTAGAGGCATTGCCTACAGGCTAGAAAGTTTATATTTTGGTGTATTTGGTGTATTTTGGTGTGTATTGGCAAATTTCTCTCAGTGTTTCTCCAACTGGCCTTAGGAAAGTTGATTTCAGGAGAATTGACTCAGGCCCCCATAGTTTATCTCAAATTGTAACCATTGTTATGACTTATAGCAATTTTCTCTTACTATTTTTCCCATTTTATTTTTTGTTTAAAGTGAGCCACATTAATTACATTTACCAAACCTAATGTGATGAACATGGACATTAATCACATTTAATTTAATTCATATTTTAATGGGTCATAACAATCTTTCATAGGAATATAAAATATCATGAAGGTACTGGGATTTAACTTTCAATCTGGCAATTAGCCTTTGGCATACTGTACTCATTTTCTAAACTGTGCCGTTTCTTTCACTTACTTTTGGGAGACTCGCATAGACCTTCTGTATTATCGAATTATGACTAAATATGATCACTAGGGGCAGTGTGGCATAATGGATGTAAGGCTAGCTGAGGAGCCAGGAAGACAAGGTTCAAGTCTACCTCAGACATCTTGGCTGTGTGAGCCTTGGCGATCCACTTAACCTATCAATGCTTTAAGCAACTTTCGAAAGACTGTAAGTTGCAAGAGGGTTGCTATGGAAGAAGGAGTTTTATTATCTCAGAGTTCTTCACAGCAATGAGATTACAATCCCCATCCCCATCCCTTACTGCTGTGAGCTGCATAATTGTTGAGTATCTTTGCAGGAAGCGTAATGAAATCAAGAGATGGAGTGTCCTGTTTGCCATTGTCACTGCATCAAAGAGTAGTAGGGAGGAAGGCATGAGAAGATTGGAAGGGTGGAAGGAGGATAGGTTAGAAAGGGCTTTGAATGCCAAACAGTGAATGCTGTATTTGATCCTGAAGGTGATTGGAAGCCACTGGAGTTTATTGCATAGGAGAGTGACATGGTAGAACCTGTGCTTCAGGAAAATTAGTTTGGTAGCTAGAGGACGTATTGGAGCAGGGAGAGACTTGAGGCAGGCAGACCCACAAGCATGCTATTGTAATAATCTAGGCAAGAGGTGATGAGGGCCTGCACCAGAGTGGTGGCAGTATCCAAGAGAAGGGAGCATATTCAAGAGATCTTGCAAAGGTGAAATCAACAGGCCTTAGCAACCGCTTGGATATGAGGAGTGAGAAATAGTGAGAAGTCCAGGATGACTCCTAGGTTGTGGGTCTAAGAGACTAGGAGGATGGTGTTGCCCTTGGGAGGGGCAGCTAGGTGGCGCAGTGGATAGAGCACGGGCCCTGACGTCAGGAGGACCTGAGTTCAAATCCCGCCACAGATCAAACACTTACTTGCTGTGTGACCCTGGGCAAGTCACTTAACCCCAATTGCCTAAAAATTAAAAAAAAAAAGTAATAGGGAAAGTAGGCGGGGGAAAGGGTTAAGGAGGAAAGATAATGAGTTTGGTTTTAGACATGTTCTGTTTAAGATATCTGCTGGACATCAGTTTGAGATGTCTAACAGGCAATTGGAGGTGTGAGATTACAGGTCAGCAGATAGGTTGGGTCAGAACAGGTAGATTTGAGAATTACAGATTGAGAAAAAAATGACATCTTAATTTTTGCTAACTTCTGACTAAAATTTAGCGTTTCCTTCACTTGTTAATTAAAAAAAAAACATTGTTTTGATAAGGAGTCCATAGGCATCACTAAGCTGTCAAAGGAGTCTGTAACACACACACACACACACACACACACACACACAGCTAAGAACTGGAGAAAGAGGAGATGTTTGAGGTTGCAGTCTATAGAAAAAGACAGGAGAGGACGAGATTAAGTACACACATAGAACAATTGCCCTTAGCAAGGAGAAGAGGTACCTCATCTTACCCCAACAGCCACTGCACTATCCCTAATAGTCATTAAAGTGCACTTTTTAATAGCTTCAAGTATTGCCTGTTTCCTCAGAGTAATATCCATTCTTAAAAACCACAGAATTAAGAACAAAAGAGAGCTATGAAACCCATATGTAGGGCACAAAATCCCACACTCAGCTGACAAAACTAATTAAAACTCAATCTGATTTTACCTGGTCTGACTTCATCTGGTCAGAAATTCTGAGTCAGTATAACTACTGCTATCATAAAATGGAACCATATAATAATCATTTCTTTTTTAAAGTAATTTTCACACCTACACAATTGTTCATCTTCATCTTAAAAAAAAACTGCTAAAGTGAGATGCTGTGCCCTTGAGCTATCATCTTATCTTGTGTTTTCTCTTTCACTGCCAATTTCTTAGAAAAAAAATAGTCTACATTTCCTTACAACTAACTTCTGAAACCCTTTCAGTTTAGCTTCTGAACCCACCACACAACCAAAATAAAATTCTCCAGAGTTACAGATGAATTCTTAACTGACAAGTCCAATGGACTTTACTCAGTCCTTATCCACCTTGACCATTGTTGTGCATTGGATCCAGTTTGATACAGGTAGCTAGGATCCATGGCCCATAAACACTAACACTGTGCTTGTGCCGTCCTGACACATCATTATGTAACCAAAGACAATGTAAACTTAGGAACTTATTGTTAGCATGCTGCCTTCTTTGGTGTTTCTATATATATAAAAGCACTGGTCAGTAGGTGTGGATGCTCCCATTCCTTGTCTTGACCTGCCACTACGAGAATAAAGATAGACCTCTTATCTACGTCTCCACTGTCTTCTCTTGGTCTGGCCAAATCCAGTGTGAACCTGCCTGGAGCTGAGCTCTGCCTTATACCCATTCTTGTAGATTTTAATAGTGTTGATCAGCTCTTCTTCCTGGATATTCTCTGTACTCCCTTGACTTCCATGGAACTTTTCTCTTTTGTTGGAATTGAATTGAATTAGCACTTACCTTTAGAATCTTCATTGTAGGAGCATATCTTGGAACACATTCCCTAAATTCCTTTAGACCATTACCTACCAGACCCTATGAGCTCCATTCTTGGTATTTTATTGAATTTCATTGAACTATAGCTAGTATCATATAATCACAGAGTATGAGTTAAAAGGGACTTCAGTAGCCATCTTATCCAATTCAAATAAAACCTTTAAAATTAAGGGTTCATTTAAGTATGTATATAGGAGTTTTTTTATTTCTTAGAATATTTGACATTTGGAGTTTTCTACCCTTCAACAGGTGCCATTTTACCATATTTCACCACGTAATCTAATTGTTGTACCCTGTTTTTTTTTTCAGTCCAAAAATTGATTTAGACCCTTTCATCACGTAATCTTTGCATGGTATAATTCTGTTCATCTCACCACTTAAAAGGTAAACAGAGCAGCAATCTATTCACCAGTGGCATATGGATATACATTTATCTCTCGCACATGGTGAGCCATGAGCCTAGAATTCTCAATGTAGGCGCATTGTCAGTATTCAGTTTTAGTGTACATTCACAAGTATTCTGTGCATCCTAATCTTGCGCCAAAGACAGTTTAGTAATAAATGATTTTTAAGTAATACCAGTACACTTTTTTAAAAAGCTTCACATAACGATCACACGCCCTTTTTTTGCAAAAAATTGGCATAAAGTCTACGACAATTATGTGGTGAAATACAGTAGGTTAGCACTTACTGAGAAAGTTCAGAGGTTTTTCCTTGCAACTTTTGAATAGTAAAGCTGAATGTTCTCCTCCTCTCTTTTTTTTGATGGGGAGAAAAAGTATTAAGGGAAGAATATTTGATAGAAATGATTTAAATACATTGTACTCAGATTTCCATTGTAACATCTTCCCCAATTATCACTTTTCTGAAAAGATTTAAATTGTGAATTTTGCAAATGTTGCATATTTGAGCCTCTTTTCATTTTACAAAATGCTTGTTTGACCTTGTACATTTTGAAATAGGGCATAACATTTTTTGTCAGTTACATATTTCTTTTATTTTTATTTGCTTATCATTTGGCATACTGTTTTTTAGTTCCTTGCTGACATGGAAAATAATGCACTCTTTCGGGATGACATTGAATGTCAGAAGCTTATTATGGAAGCAATGAAATACCATTTGTTGCCAGAGAGACGACCCATGTTACAAAGTCCTCGCACAAAACCTAGAAAGTCAACTGTTGGCACATTATTTGCAGTTGGAGGAATGGATTCAACTAAAGGTATTATGAAGAAGGCACCTTTATTTTATAGAACAAAGAAAACAAATGCTTATTCCATATTAGTATATGATTGATAATTGCTTTATCAATAAATCTAAGCCTCCTTCCCTCCGCCAACTAGTTACATAATAATACCTAACCAATAAAGAAAGGTGGAAATCTGAATGGGAAAATGTTCAGTGTAGGCTCTCCAAAGATCAAAATATAAAATACAAAGGTGTTAAGGGAACTGAGCAAAGAGAGGAAATACTATCCCAAATATTATGAAGAAGTGAGTCTTCCATACCTCCATATTTATTGCCAGTACTACTGTGAGTTCTTTTAGCCTTACGCTTAATATACCTACAAAACTGAACCCCCAAAAGAATTTTACAGTCTTGCTCCAGAGGGAAAGATATGTATTAGAGAAACATACCAGTATAGTATAAATTGAACTACCAAGAATATGGACCGGGGAATCAATAACATGCAAATCTATCAGTAATGACTTCTGTATAACAGATATGCAATCTTAGAAATATATAAGCATGCAGTTATTTCTATAAAGAGGATTACAATTGATTCTGGGGGCATGGGCAGGAGTCAGTGGATAGAACACTAGACCAGGAGTCAGTAAGACCCAAGTTCAGATGCAGCCTCAGACATTCTTATTTGTAAAATGAAGGTAATGATAGCACCCACCTCTGAGGTTTGTTGTGAGAATAAAATGAGACATCCTAACTATTATTCTCTCTCATTATCTATACTAAGAACCAGTGGAACTCAAATGCACATTGACTTCTCAGCTTCTGGGATAGAGGTAGAGAAACGAGAGACTAGACTGCAAAGTCAGACCACTACTTCATCGTGGCTGCTTGAAAGTGAGAAAGCCATGAATGTGCCCATCTTGTCCACAGACAGAAGTGAGAGGAGAGAAAAAGAAAACTCTCATTCCTTTTTTGGGCAAGAGAGTGACAAGAAGGGTCAAAGTCACAACTCCAGAATCCCAGCAGTCCTATCAAATTAAGTCATCTTCCATTCTTGTGTTCCCTCAGCACACCTCCTTGGAGGCAGTCCCTGTTCATATTAAAAGCTTTGCCTGCATGATGTTAGTTTGGAAGAAAGGGAATTAGACAACCATTAAGGAACAAAGATTTTACTCCCTCCTTCAGGTTCACAGTGTTGAATCAAGAGAAAGGTTTCAATTGTCAGATGTGCTTTTTAATATAATATCAAGTAGGGCAGAGCTGAGGATACAGCTGTAAGATCAGTTATTAACTATGATATTACCAAGGAAAGTAAGGAACCTGAAACACTTTAACAAGGGGCAGTGATTTTTGGTGATCTAGAAAATTACTATGTGTTCCAGCTTTTACTTTTCTCCTTCCCTTTCCTCACAGACATATGTGCCAAGTAGATTTGGGCATATTAGGAAAACATGATTATTTCCTAGTTGGAATAAACTCAGATGTTTTATTTTATTTAGTGTGAATGCTGAAAGTTTCTTGTTCAGCAGTTAAGAATATTCAGTAAAACTACACTGATGCTTCAGCCACAGCTACTATCACTATTACTAATGAGACTCTTGGCAGATTATTACAGACCTGCCTTCAGAGTCCATGTTTAGGGCTGCTGAGTGTTCAAGGGTTGTGACTACAGGTTCTAGCAGATGGCTCCCACCTTTTCCCTCTGAACATGGCCCAGTTGCTGTTGCTCCTAAGAATTACTACTGAAATGCTTTGACCTCTCCAAATGACTAGCAAAAATTTCACTTGACTTTGTGGCTACTAGGGCTTTAATTGAGAAAGGACTACACAGAACCAGAAAGGGGCTAGAACTTTCCTACTTAGAGTGAGACATGTATCTGGTCACACGTAGAGGCTTTTCAAAGACCAATAGTAGGAAGCAATGGTTATGTATGGAAGAAAACAGTACCTATGTACTGTTAACTGCTAAAGCTTGACCAAGTCTCCAAGTATGATTCATACATATACACACAGAAACACACTCATATATATACATATATATATATGTATACACACACACACACACACATATATACACACATACATAAATAGATAATAACACTGCTTTCAGTATATCACTCACCCTGCTCAAAAATTTGAATTGGTCCTTCTTACCTGAAATTTTTAGCTTGACTTTCAGAGCTATATAATATGACCCACATATACTTTTTTTGGGAGGCAGTTGGGGTTTAGTGACTTCTCCAGGGTCACACAGCTACTAACTGTCTGAGGCTGAATTTGAACTCAGGTCCTTCTGACTCCAGGACCAGTACTTTATCCATTGCACCCACTCCAGTCAAATTGATCTGTTCTTTTTCTTGAACTACCTTATGCAGAGAGTAAGGCCAGTGTTAGTTGATTAGCTGATTAAAAACTATCTTACTTTCCTCAGTGTCTTGCATCTCCTTTCCATTAACCCAAATGTTACTCATCCTTTAAGTGACCAAGTCTGAGTGCTTTGTTATTACTATTTTTCACTTAATTATGATTATTACAGACCAGAATAGATCAGGATTTCTTTTGCATTTGAAATTATTTGTGTCATGACTTCTTGTTAGGTTGTTAGTTCCATTAGAGCAGGATCTTATTTATTTTTGTATCTCTTCCAGCACCAGTAAGTGCTTAATGAATGTTTGTTATGATGGATTGGATTGGATTGAAATAGTCTCACCACCTTCAGGAAGCCTTGAGCCTGGTTGCTTCAGAACACAATAATTTCTTCTTCCTGTGAACTCACAACACTGTCTTATCCCTCTTTTAGCTTTTAATCATACACTGTCTTGTGACATCTCTTGAATCATTGTTTTGCATTACTACTTAATGTTTATTTTTGTCCACAATTAAACTATAAGCTCTTTGAGGAAAGGAACCCTTTCTCATAAATCTTTCTATCTACCACAAAATATAGCACATAGCATATAATATGTGTTCAATAAATATTTGAATGAGTGATACAATGACATAGCTGGAAGAGATTAAGTTATAAATATTTGTCAGTACACACAGTGGCAGAGCTCGGACCAGTGTACCTTCACAATTCAAAGCTCTTTCCATGTCGTCATTGGAAAGTAAAATAACAATCCTCTGAACTGCTCGGAAAGGCTTCATTGAGGATATGAGATTTAGGCTGAGCTCTGCAGGAAAAGGTAGGATTTGAAGTACAGAAGAGAGTCAGGAGGCATTCTGGGCAAGAGAAGGAACGTAAGTAGGAACAATGGTGTTCAGTGACTATGAGCACTGGCCATTTTGGCTAGAGCAGGTTTGTGTTAAGGAATACAGGTGAAAGGTATGTTGGGGCAAGATTGTGGTCCATGGGGTACAGCAAAGCAGGAAGATGCTAATGCCTCTTCTTTAATGTTATTTCCACTGATAAAATTATATCTGTTTCTGATGTTGAATCATTTGACAGTGCCAAGGACCTTGATGATAACTTTCTTTTCTGGATTTCCAGTAACTATAGCTATGTCATCTGTAAGAGCAAATGTCAGGCTGCATCCCTACAGGGTTTGCTTCCCAAGATGATCATGTCCGAGAGCACTGGGCTGGAAGCATTACTGTTTCCCAAGGCTTTGGGGTTCAGGATCCTGGGCTGTCCCAATTAGAGACAAAGTGGTGACAGTTTGACTTACTTGGCACATACTGCCTCCTATTTCTGTCTCAGGGTGCCTGGCTGCTTCACATAGGCCAGCTTGCCTACCCTGTATGTGGCAGCTAATTGGCAGTTGTTGGAGATGGCTACCTCTTCGTCACAGGAGTTGCCTTCCCAGATGATGGCCTTGAGGGTGGGCTAAAAAAAGGCAGATTTAGGGGGTACTGCCCCTCTCAGGGCTCCCATGCCCAGTTGCCTGTAGATTGGTCAGTAGTTGTTACTGGTGGTGATGATAAAAGTGGGCTTCCTCTCCACAATGATTTGTCCTTTCAGCTGTTAAGCTGCTAAAATATAACTGACACCAGCACAGATATATCATGCCTTAGGTATTATCCAAATGTCTGTGGACCCTCCAGTTGAGTTTTAGAGTTAGCAGTAAGGAAAGTGAGAAGGAAGGGAACTTTGGACAGTGCATTTCACCTGCCACAATTTTTTTAACTTTCCCAGGAATCCTGGAAGGGTCCCTTCTAGATAAAGCAACTTACCTTCATCCTGGAGTTGGTTCAGGTCCCAATATGCTTTTGAAAGTAGATGTTACCTCACTCTGGAATTTTGAAGTAATGCTATTTCTCTGGGATTGTAAGGTGCACGTGAACAGAAGCACTGATTGATTTCTCCTACCCATTTAATTCCTATATTTGGCAGCAAATACTTCTCTAAATGAACAAATCGTTGTCCATATTGAGTAGGGGGAAAGAAAGCAAAAACTTAGGCATCCAGATAAGATTTACAGAACGATATTCTTTAGAGCTGATTGAGACCTCAGAAGGACTAATTGCAACAGGGTAAAATGAAGCACTTTGTGGGGGGGCCTGCCCTGGCAGGCAGGGAGAGTAGGGGAAGAACAACTTCAAAGATTTCTTCCCAGCTTTCCATTTTTGTTCAGGAAATGCAGTATCTTCTCTAGGAGGTATAATTTGTGGAGAAGCTAGACTTTGGGATATTCAATCATTGTAATTGGTTAAATAGAATGAGGAGCATGTGCTGCTCTGAAGGTTCATTAACAGGGTGATGCCAAGGTATGTTCTGTGATCATAGAGGGGTCTTTCTGGCCAAAGGTTCACTTAAATATGAAGTCATAATTTTGAAAACAAGGAAGACTTTTATGGCTGGTTTAGGGATACAAAGCAAGAAATGGTGAGAAGCAATTAAAACTACTTAGGTGTGCAGGATAATAAAGGATGGCATGAAGATACTATTCCCAGTGACCTCTTTCTTTAAATTGCTTGGCCATTACCAGGAAAATGGCTTTTGGCCGTTATCTCTAGTTTAAGGACAAAGTCTCTTTGATAGAAGTCCTTGCAACTTTGTTTTGGACCTAAAATGCTAGCCTAGGTTGTTTGGGTGGAAAGGCGTAGAGAAGGAAGGCCAGAGATATCATAAACTTCTGATACCCAAAGATTCTAATATTAGATGAAAGAGTATCTTGATTATTAATAAAGCTATATAGAAGTATGTGTGCATTTATGCATCCTCTAGTAATAACTATCTATTTATATTCTAAGAAGATGATAATTATATTTACAAAAGTCCTAAATAGCAGATATGTTCTTTTTGAAGAAAGGCCATACTGTAGCAGCCACAAATCAGTCATTATGTGGTAGGTTATAGTAGTCATAGTTTATCTGCACCTGACCAAAAACAAAACAAAAATTCCTTAGAGTAGAGAAATGTCAGGAATTTACATTACTAAGGAGATGCCTTTAAAAAGTCACACAACCCCTCTGAATGTTAAGAGATCTGTGGTCTATTACCATCACACTAGAGTTTTAGATTGAAGGAAAGAATTTCAGTGAATTCATTTTGGATGACCCAAATCTTTTCATGTGTCATCTGCTAGGAACTGGAGTTTTTTGTTCATTTTCTAATACTGTCATAAATAATTTTCTATTTTTATAATATATATGATATTTTATATATTATAAATGAATACACATGTAAATATTAAAGTGTCCTCAAAGATCTTAAATATTTAAGTAAAATATCTTAAATATGTCCAATTAATGCTAAATAAATATTATTTCTATATATGAATAGCTCAATTAAAAGCATCAATTATGATGAAATATAATTAAATGTAATTTTGATATATGTTACTATTAAGGAGCAACAAGCATTGAAAAATATGATCTACGTACAAACATGTGGACTCCAGTAGCTAATATGAATGGGCGGAGACTACAGTTTGGTGTGGCAGTATTGGATGACAAGCTATATGTTGTTGGTGGTAGAGATGGACTAAAGACCTTGAATACTGTAGAGTGTTATAATCCCAAAACAAAAACTTGGAGTGTGATGCCACCTATGTCCACACACCGTCATGGACTTGGTAAGTATAACCAATCAACCTGTTTTAGAAAAATTTGCTTCATTATCATACCTAAAGAGTCAATGTGAGTAAACGTCTTGCACAACTTAGTAGATGGTTTGATGAGTTCAAATTCAAGAATCTGTTGGTCAGTCATTTGATAATTGTGATAAAAAGTATCTGAGGACCTGTTGATAGGTGCTGCCAATCATAAAAGTCAACAACACAGAGAGAGGGAAAACCTGGTTTATTACCCTCAGAGCATAGGCATCACTGTATATAAAAATCAGGGAGCCAAGAACATCAGCTTCAACAGCATACAGGTTTTGGTTGCATAAGCAGAATGGATACAATTGAATTACAAAGAGTAAGTAAGGGAAAATAATGATTTACAGACCAAAGAACAGATAGCAGAAGAAGATTTATATCAGGTAAAATAGGAAACTAGCCAGTTAACAACATCAGACCTGTAGCTGATAAGCTTGATTTTGCAGGCTCTAGTTAACTTTGATGAGCAGTTAAGTCAGAAATTCTCTTATGACCATAATGAGCCTTGCAGAATTTAGTTAAGTGGTCCTTAAATGATAGGTATATAGCCCATTACCAGATCTGTACTCAAAGCCTTTTGGGACTTCCAAAATCCACAGTTTTTACTTTTTTTTTTATCAGGCTAAAGTACAGAAGCAGAAGAAAGTTCTTTGCAGTGGCACTTTTGGCAGGGTGTTTAGGGCACCGTATACGTAAAGGCAGATCTGTTTTCTTATTTAAGATACTAGTTCCCAGGATCCATGGCTATAAACAATCTCACTGCACTTGCCTATCATTATGTCACTAAGATAATGTAAATATTTGAGATAACTTGTAAACAGCATACTGCGCCTGCTCTATGCTAAGTCACCACGATATTGCTGAAGTTAACGTACACTTGTGAGCCTACTGCTGGCAAAATGCCTTCTTTGTGTGCTCCTCTATAAATCCAGTGAGCGCTGGTCAGTGAGTGCAGATTTGAGGATTTGTAGAATGTGCTAGCTGAAAAGCTGTGAGTGCTTTGAACTGCCACCAACCTGGCTGAGGGGATGCTGTAGGAGCTGGAGCTCCTCCTATCATTCTCACCGGCCCCTGCAGAAGAGTAATTGAGAAGAATAAAGTAAATTAACCCCTTTTCATGTCTGTGCTGCTGTCTTCCTATCTGCCGAGATCACGAGTGAATCTGCTAGAGACCGGAGCCAAGAAGCTTCTGGGTTACAGACACTTTAACAATGGGAAAGGGGCTATTGTCTACTCAATCAAACTGGCTTGTGTTTGGTCAGTATGGCAAGAGTGTGATGAAAGGAATGGTATGAGTGAGTACAGGGGAGAAGCCAGTTGAGGTTAGAAATGCAGTATGGCTACAGTGCCTGTGGTGTTTGTATACAAGTCAGAGTCTTTCTCTTCTCTTTGTGGTCAGTGAAGATGTTTACAAGTTATCTGTGTTGGTCTGGGTTTATGGTTCATGCTGTTCAAGGCCTAATACACATCTTCTATCAAAAATACGGTAAGCAGTTAGTGAAAGCTGTAGAGAGATCCAGCCTAGAGATGCTATCTGAATTGTACTAGGTGAATTTATTCCTGATTTCCTTTCCTTGAAGAAGAAACAAAGTTTTTTCTCCCTTTTAGCAGCGGGGGCGGGGGGATAAACCGGAGGGGTAGACTGAGGCATCTATTTTCAGACCAATGTGTTGATTTGTTTTGATTCACCCTCCTTTTTTGTGACTGCGGTGGGCTGGGGGAGAGTGGAATCAGTACTTGGGCAGGGCGGAAAGTGATAGGCATATTAAAAAAAATCAGTGAAACGTTATTTTAAAAATGGAATGAAACAGTTATCACACGCATAGCACCATTTGCCATCCCCAGATTTTTTGTTGTTGTTGTTGTTAATACCCTAACTACCAATGCCGCCTCTACTGCTTCTGCTTCCATGCAGGAATCATAGTTGATCACTAGATAACCGTGTTAACATGAATTCTTAATAAGAATTTTACAGTGTCGTTGCACTTAAGAGTTTAGATTTAAGTGAGTATTCTGAGCTCCAGAAGACTTTTTAAATCATTTTTTTTCCTCTTTGCAGGTGTGGCTGTATTGGAAGGTCCTATGTATGCTGTAGGTGGGCATGATGGCTGGAGCTACCTAAATACAGTGGAGAGATGGGACCCTCAGGCTCGTCAGTGGAATTTTGTCGCTAGTATGTCCACTCCCAGGAGCACAGTTGGTGTGGCAGTATTAAGTGGAAAGTAAGGAAATATTAATATTTAACTGGATTTTAAATTTTGGATACAAATTGGAATACAAATCCGCCTTTCCATACAGGCAGGGAAGGATTGGAATCCCGTTTGAAAAATTGAATATCAAACTTTGAAATTAAATCCAAATCCAAGTATTTATACAAGTAATTCATAGATAGGAATTACTTGTAAAGTAAAGTATCAACACTTTTCAAATGGTATGGTTTCTTAGCCATAGTATTAAATATCAAAATATTAACTCCAATTTTAAGACTAGTTTGAAGATTCAGTTTCAAGAAAATAAAACATTCTTCATTTAAATAGAGAGTTACTCTGAGTAAAGAAAATCTATTTAAATATTTAGTACAATCTATCATTAAACAGTACTTAAACAACTAGTCATTTCGACTCTTAAAAATTTTATTTTTCAATACTAAAATATCTCAGTGAATTAACCAATTTATACCCCTGCTTTTTTTCCCCTGGTTTCTCTTCCTCCTTTTTTCTGCTGGTTCAATGATTTCTTGTCCTTAGGAGAGGATTGATGGTAGAATTTGCATAAAGATAAAGTCTTCTTTTCTCTTGATTATTCAGGGGCTAACCACATTATCTGTGATTTTTCAGTGCCCTATTTTTCTTTCATAAGATGAAGCCTAATAGGTTATTAATTAAAAGCCAATCATTGCACTCCCTTTGTTTCTCCACAAGAAAGTTAAAAACACCAGTTAGTCTATTTTTTAAAAATATGAACTTATGAAAGTTAATGAGGATTTTGGGTTATCTGTGTATTTCAGTTGTCTAAATATCATTTTTCCCCATTAGCATAAATAATGATTGACCATTGTTTATATGTCTTCCCTTTTTACAGAATTATTAGGGAAGTAGGAAGAAATGAAATGTCCTTTTATTGTTTTATTATTACTGCTATATTATTAGAACACTATTATTGTTTAATTTTTTACTAAACTTTACCTTAGGTAAAATTTTATTTTCCTAAAAGGAAAAAAATCCAAGCTTTAATTTGAAAAAATGTGCAGTCTACTCATTGCAGGAGAGGTTCTGACTAGCCCAGTGTCACACAGCTATCAAATGGCAGATCCAGGTTGTTAATCTTCCTCCTCTTACTCCAAATACCCTTTCCAGTACATGGAGGTCCTTTTGAACTTTAAAATTCTGAGTTTAGTCAGAGAAAATTTTGCAAAGTAGGTAGGACTTGGACTTAAATTTAAAGGGAAATGGGATTCAAATAGCAGAGAGTGGGAAGGGAAACTAATTCTAGGTAAGAGGAAGAAAGGCACAAAAGCAAGAATGCACAGGTATCTGTTTGGAGGACAGTGAGAAGAACAGTCTGTGTGTATCAGAAAACTTGTGTAGCAGAATAGGTAGCAAGAAAGTTGAAAAGGTAGACTGTGGTCAGTTTTTGGAAGGCCTTGAATTCCTTGTTAGATATTGCATGTGCCTTTCCATTGGAATAACTGTACTCTATTTATTGAATGAAGAATAACTGCTTCTGTGTTTTAAAAATTGTTATTAAAATGTTCTCATTTCTCCCAAATTTTCACTGACTTTGCCCATACTTTCCTAGGGTCCATGATTCTTCCATTTGTACTTTTTAGAGTTATGCCACCAAGCTATAGGTAAACAAGAATTTACTTACAGCTTAAATCACTAAATAATTCATCTGTAAGTACACCAATGAAAACTGAGAAAACATCTTAGGGGTTTATTTGTTTTCAATTTACCTGTGTATGTCTGTGCTAACTAAGGGAATGATTTTCTCTGCTATTTGGATGTTCTAGTTTCTTGTCAGAGACACCACAGGGGTGAAAGAAAAGAATCAAAAGAAGTGAATTCATTATTTTTTTGTTACACTGATGTATCTATAGGAATAGAAATAAAACTGTATCATTGTTTAGACAAATACAGAATCCTATAGATCAGAATAATATATCGTGCTCTCTCATTTAGCCTTTAGAATTAGAATATGAGATAAGTCACTCGGGAATTTTTCACAGTAGCTGATGTAGCACTTCCTCCTAATAGAAGAGAGGTTCTTAACCTGGGGGTCTGTGAACTTAAAAAAATGTATCTATACATATACATATGCATATATACATATGTGTGTGTAGGTATATGTGTATAACTTTTTTCAATATAATTGGTTTCCTTTGTGATCCTCTCATCTCATCTCCAACTGCCTGAACTTAGCATGGTGTGAACTCATCTTTTCCCCAAAGCCCTTCCCTCTTCCAAACTTCTCTGTTGCTGTAGAGCATCTTTCCTGTCACCCAGACTCAAAATGTAAGGGTCATCCCCTATTCCTCACACTCTCTTACCCCCATATCCAATCACTTGTCAAGGTCTGTCAATTTTACTTTCTTAATGTTATTTACCTTAACATCTCTCAATACACCCCATTCTCTCCACTGACATTTTCACCACACTAGTATAGGCCCTCAGGTTCTTACACTTGGACTGTCGTAGCCTGATGGTTGTTCTCCATGCCAACAAGTGTTGCCATGCTCCAGTTCATCCTCCATTCAGTTGCCAAAGTGATCTTGCTTGCATGTCTGATCATCTCACTCCCCCCCATCAGTAAACTAAGGTAAGCACCTCCAAGATCAAAATCACCTGTTTGGAATTCAAAACCTTTCATAATCTGTCCCCTCCCTCCCCTACCTTTTAGGTCTTCTTATACTTAATTGCCCCCACCCCACTTTGCTCTCCAATGGCACTGGCCTCCTTGCTAGTATGTACCCCATACAAAATACTCCATCTCCCAACACTGGGCACTTGTGCAGGCTGTCCCTCATGGATTTTAGCTCCAGCTAATATCCTATCTTTTACAGCACAGATGTCAAACCCGAAAGCCACTGGAACCAGATTAAAATATAATTGGGAAATATTTTTAAAATTCAATAATACATGGAGAAAATTACATTTTAAAAAATATGTATAGCCCACAGGGATGCTTATGTATAGATTAGTGGCCCCCGTTTCTATTTTAATTTGTTACCACTGTTCCAAGGGGAAGGCTTTCTTAATGAGCAGCTACGCGGCCAATAAATAAAGCATCGGGGCTGGAGTCAGAAAGACCTGAGTTCAAATCTGGTCTCAGACTCATCCTAGCTGTGTGAGCCTGGGCAAGTCACTTAATCCTATTTGCCTCAGTTTCCTCATCTGTAAAATGAACTGGCGAAATAAATGGCAAACCCCTCCAGTATTTTTGCAAGGAAAACCCCAAATGGGATCACAAAGAGTTAGACACAATTGAACAACAAAAGCAACATTTTTGTTCTAGCATACTGAACTAGATGACTTCTGAGGGTATAGGATGGAAGGGACCTCTGAGGCCCTTCATTTTGCAGATGAGGAAGCTGGAGAAGGAAATGGCAAACCACTCCAGTATCTTTGCCAAGAAAACCCCGAATGGGGTCACAAAGAGTCAAATGTGACTGAAAAATGACTGAACAACACTAATGTTACTGCCTGCTCTGTTCATTATTTCTGGTTTATCCTGTGTATATCTTCTTTGCATATAGTTGTTTGTAGGTTGTCTTCCTCATTAGACTGTCAGCTCTTTGACAGCTGGACTATCTTTTGTTTTTCTTTGTGTCCCCAGTGCTCAGCACAATGCCTGAGGCACTTAATAAATGTTTATTGATTAACTAATCCTATGTATCTTATTTTATTCATTTAAATATGTTTATCTGAGAAGAGGTCCATAGACTTTACTGGACTACCAAAAGGGTCCATAATACAAAAATGGTTACAAACCCCATTAAAAGAGGTAAAAGAAGTAAATTCTTCTTTTGTGCTTCCATGAATTAGGGATTTCATCAGTGCAAGTACTTTCTTTTCAACGGTACAGTTGTCAGCCTTCCAGTGTTTTGCAATTCTTGTCTGTATCATCCCATAAATCCTACATATGTCCTGTGATCATAGTATAACAGGTTTAGAGCTGGAAGGAATTTCAGAGGTCATTTAGCCCAGTTTCCTTATTTTACAGATGAAGAAACTGAAGCTCCAGGAGGTAAAATGATTTGCACAAAGTTATATTGCAGCAGAGGTGGGATTTAAACCCACGTCTGCTAATTATACAGCCCGTTCTTATTCCCATGTACCAGATCTTCCAAACCTGCTAGAAGCTTTCTTCTGTGTTCCGTAATATTGCATGAGTACCAGTGCAGCAATTAAGTTGTCAAAATGTTATCTTTTGTTCCGGTTTATATGACCAACTCATCTTCTTTGTATGCATTTCTTGGATGGTATCTTTCCTGGATACCATTTTTGAGTGCAGATAATAATTGGCAATAAGCTGTAGCCCTACCTATGCCTACATTAAATTTCTCCATTGCTCTTTAGGTCACCTGCAATTTTGATTGAATGAAGCATTGAATAAGCACTCTGCTAAAAGTGCTGGAATTACAAATGTGAAGACAGTCCCTCCCTTCAAGGAGTTTACATTCTAATAAGGGAGTACAATGCATACTTATATGCATATGGTACATGTAAAAATATACACACCATATGCATATACATATGTGTATGCAGAATGTACACATTTGTGCATCATATGTTGTATAGGGATGGTGGCTAAGGAGAGATATTTTGACTTGAAAAACTACTAAGATGGTGAATGAAGCCATAAAGGAATAAATTGACAGATGCATTGACAGAAATTGGCAGTATTTATTTGATTATGTTTCTAGAAACGATAGTTTGGGAATGTAGGGTACAAAGGAGGTTTTGTGCTCAGCAGCACAGCACCTTGTGAGAAGATAGAAGAGTGAAATATGTCTGGGCCCCATCTGAAATATTGGGCCAGGTGAGATACTAATCAAACCAGTGGTTTTAAATCATCAGGACATGGCCTCTGGTCTGGTCACTATTATGGACAACAGGCTACCTGTCCAACTGTATATCATAATCTATGTCATAGGCATTCTTCCTTCATTTGGCTTTTCTTGTATTGATTTTTAGATTAGTCTCTATATCACTGAGGAGAC